TTTGTAGAGGCGGGGAGCGGGAAGGTTCTGCGAAGGCGCGCAGGGTGGGATCGGGGGATTGGCCACCGGAGGAGACTGAGAGAAGACGGGAGGGAGGAGGGGAATGGGGAGGATGAGGGAGAGGGAGGAGGGACACGCTAGTCGACGGAATATTCCAGTGTTTCTGCGGCGGGCGGCCTTGTGGGCTGGGCTGTGGCCGGGTTAGGTTCGGCCCGGATTCGGGTCCGGATCGAGAGGGCTAACATCATTCATTAACTTGTCTTAAAAAAAATCTGTAGAGGCTAGCGTAACAGTCCTTGTCAACTTCAGACTTGCTCAAACATCGGAAGATGATAGTAATCACGGTGTGGACTTTGTGACTCTGAAGATTCCTGGCGGCATTCTTTGATGCAGTGTAAAAAATCAGATGCAAAACGCTTAGTTTTCTCACTAATAGATTTTATCCCGCATGAGAATTTCATCAAGATACTTGTAACACTATAGGCGATTTGGCATGCTCGAAGAAAGACTATCCATGAGCATGTATTTTAGGGGTCGTCGGCTACTAATCAGTTTGTCAAGAATTATCTAATACAGCTTCAGATTTGCACACCTTTGAAGCAACATGCACCTGTTCAAACACCTCTGAGACAACATCACAGATGGATCCCGCCGCCTGCAGGAACTGCAAAATATCGTGTTGATGGTGTCGTGCCACATGACGCAATGGAAGAGACTTACAGCACAGTTTGCAGGGATTCCACTGAAAAAAATTTAGGCTCTTTGGCGATAAAATGTCAAGGTGTGACTAACCCAGTATCATTGGAGGCTTTCACTAGTCGAGAAGCGCTCTCACTTGCTTTTGACTTATCACTTGCAGACATACAGATAGCTTTAGACCGTCAAGGTGTGATCAAAGATATCCATGGAAATATGGATGGGCTACACTCTAGCATTATTAAGGAGGTCAATCTTACATCTTAGCAGTTCTCTCGTTGTTCCTTCATCTTTGAAGGAAGAGAAACTAATCTTGAGGCACATAGCCTCGCTAAACATATCTAGACTTTTTTTAGGACGCCGTGTGTGGCTCCTTAATCTCCCGGATCTACATTATATTCCTTTGAGCTTTTATAATCAATAAAATGGAGTGTGTTTAGACTAAAAAATAACTTGTCTCAAAAAAAATTATTCATTAACATCCTAAACAGTCTATGGATAGCAATTACTCATAGGAAAGAAGATGGCTTGAAAAGTCATTTTGTAGTTACATCTTGAAGCATTTGCTGCAAAGGAAGTTGTAACAACAAGAAGAAGATTTAATCTGAGAAGCCTTTTTTGCAAGAGAATGAGCTTAAGTATTCTGGAGTCTTGGAATGTGCTTGACCCTGCAAGAATCCAATGTAGACATGATGCTGAAGAATTCAGCTAAGATAGTCCTAATCTTTCAATGCCCTGGGTTTTGGATTAAATTCTTGGCTTCCGTCGCTTCAGTCAGTGTCCTACAATCAGAGAAAGGAGTCGAGCTCCAATTCAAGGATTTGATGATCGCTGCAATAAGGAGTCCCAAAGCTTCGGCCTATGAAATTAAATATACTTTTGTGAAAGTAGCTCGTATAAATATTGTATGGCGGTTGAGCTCGTTCCTTAGAAATACTCCTAAGATTGCCAAAAGTCATCTTCTACTCCCGACTTCATTTGAGCTCAGGATGAACAGTAAAATAAGGAGAAGAAAAAACAAAAAATCTGATTTTTTTTTGGGTGAAAATATGGACAAAAGTTTTACGCGCCCACAAAATTTCATATTGAAAAGACATTCATGGAAGTTGTGGCAAAAAACAAAATCAACACTTCAAAATGCTTTCAAAAATAACACTTTTGGAGCATTAATTTTGTTTTTTTTGCCACGACTTCCAAGAATGTGATTTCAAGATAAAATTTTGTGAGCACGTAAAACTTTTGTCAATGTTTTACCAAAAAAAGTTAGATTTTTTTTCGATTTTACTGTTCACCGGGCTCATTTGAGCTCGAGCTCAAAAACTCCACTTCCTAAAAATGCTTCATTTACTAACACTGAAGGGTTAAAGGTCACGTTAACATATGCTTTAAAACCTGCAGGCAAAATAGAAGAATTTGCATTTGAGGAGGGATTGGACAGGTTAAGAGCAGGAGGCCTATAGTCCTCTTCACAATCCTCCATTAAACCTGCATTTAGATTGCCTTTGTAGCATGGATATACCTGCGTTGGCTGCATAGGACTTCGAGTTCTCTTTTTAAAGAGAAGGTCATTTTTAGCTTCCCAAATATTCCAGAGAATAGTGAAAGATAGTGCTTAAATTTAGCTCTGGGTGCTAGCTTTTCAAATATTCGAGAGAATAGTAAAAATAGTGCTTAAATTTAGCTCTGGGTGCTTCACGGATAAGATTTGTAGAATGATATCAGTAGGGTAAAGATTGTGTTTCAACATATCAATTTTCAAACCAAAGTAAAACCAGACCATTCTAGAGAAATTGCATAGGAAAAAAAAGATGCAAATATGTTTCTTCCTAACCACATCTACAATACTACCTCCGTTCCATAATAGTATAAGAGCGTTTTTTACTCTAATGTAGTGTCAAAAACACTCTTACATTATGGAACGGATGGAGTAGTTTTTATTAATATGCTTAGAAAATTTAGAAGTTTTTCAAACCTGTTGCTATAGCTCTTCTTTGGCGTGATAGTAAAATACTCTTGTATAACATTTTTTTGGGTGTGTAAACTTACATGGCTCCCAATCGGGCGAGAATGAGACGGTTCATCAATTCATCTCAAGCCGTGCGTGGAATGTTGTTTTCTAGCTGGTTATACTCGTAAAGTACGTTTTAGTAAAAGAACATGGAAGAGTGAGTCTGGCAGGACTAGGGTTCCTACCGGTTCGACTCCTTAGGTTATAAGGGCAGAACAGCGGAGGTTGGGGGCGAGGGCGTGAGCTCCGGCGTGACGGCGCCGTCGCGAGGAAGGAGGAGGGAGGCGGAGGCTGATGAGAGGCGGCTAGGGTCAGGGGTCCGGCTCCTCTGGGAGCCGGGCAATAATAATTCTGTTTATTGCTTAATTCCAAAAAGAGTCTTACAGCCTATATTTATAAGCTAGATAACTTGCATAAGAATTAACCTAAGATAACTTGCATAAGAATTAACCTAAGATAACTTGTGGGCTAAGATTGCCCGGTGGGCCTAGCTAAACCGGCCATAACACTTCTCCCCGCCTGCACAAACAGCTCGTCCTCGAGTTGTAAGGTGGGGAAGCGCTTGCGGAACTCCTCGAGGCGATTAACCAGCGTCAAACACCTTCTCGACAGCTGGGGCGGCCAGGTCGGCGGTGACGGCGTCCTCCGGAATGTAGTCTGCAACCTCCAGGTAGAAGAGTCGTGGGCAGGCATGGCCGGGCGTGTAGGGCTCATCGCAGTTGAAGCACAACCCTTGGCGGCGACGCTCGAGTAGCTCGGCTGAGGTGAGCCAGCGGAACGGGCGCGCCGCAGTCGCGGCGAGGGGTGCCGCAGAAGCCTGCGCAGGCCGACCTTGCACGGAATCTGGCCCGGGTAGCGACCCAGCGGTCCGGGACGGTGATTCCTGATGGATGGCCACCGCGCGGCGCTCGAACGCGCGGGCGTAGTACATCGCCGGATGGAGATCCTGGGGTCCCTGAAGCTCCACGTCCACGCGGATGTGATCCGGAAGTCCACCGACAAAGAGGTCGGCCCGCTGCTGCGCCGTCACACCCGACGCATGGCATGCTAGGGCCTGGAAACGGTCAGCGTAGTCCTGCACCGTCGAGGTGAAGGGAAGGCGGCTGAGCTCCGCCAGGCGACTCCCGCGAACCGGAGGCCCAAAGCGAAGGAGGCAGAGCTCGCGGAAGCGCTCCCAAGAGGGCATGGCGCTCTCGTCCTGCTCAAGGGTGTAATACCAGGTCTGTGCCGCGCCGTGGAGGTGGTACGAGGCAAGCCAGGTATGCTCCGATGCGAGGGTGCGCTGCCCGCGAAAAAACTGGTCGCACTGGTTGAGCCAGTTGAGGGGGTCCTCTGTGCCGTCATAGGTGGCGAAGTCGATCTTGGTGAACCGCGGCGGTGTCTGGGTCGGAGCGCCGTGTCGAGCTAGCTCAGAGGTGCGGAGCAGCGAGGCGGGTGGCGCCTGGTCGGAGTACTCCGGGTAGGGACCGGCGGAACCGGATGGCCCACTGGACTACAGGAACGGAGTCGGCTATTCGGGGGCCGTGGTGTAGACCGGCGATGGCGAAGACCCAACCCGCCCACGCTGGGAGTGGCGATGGGGATGGCGGAAACCAGACCTGATGGATCAGGAGGCCGGTTGGCGAGGGTGCCCCTGAGCTGGGCAGGGGTGGCGCCGGTGGTTGCAGCGGCAGCAGCAGGGGCTGGACGAGGGTAGCGGCTGCCGGGGACGGCAACGGCTG